GGGCAGCATGTGAATGCGCGTAGATTCTTTTACCAACTGCGCTACAGCCATTCTTTTTCGGGAGTGATGGCAGCTTTCGAGATTGCTACGTGGTGCAGAAAATTAAAGGAATCTAGCGCCCCTAGTTCCAGCCTAACCTCAAATGTAGTGCTGATAGTAAATGAGAGAGAGTGAAGCAGGGCCAACTCTCCCTCGTTGGGGCGCTGGCAAGGTGCAATTCTTCAAGGCTCCCCTATAAAGAAAAACGTTTGCTCGCCTTGATGTTCATCAGCTGCCACACATCTCGCCTTCTACGGCGAACATCGGCGAGCTTTTCATCGACTACGGCCGTCTCTCACACGTGCTCATTAGCAATTGTGCCTGAGGACTGGACTATGGAGTGCCCTAGAACGACTGCCCCCGCTCCTCTCTCCTCACATAGGCCGAGCGCTGCGCGCATTTCCTCATTGAATTATTCGGCAGCTGTTTGTAAACTGGCCATAGCAAACTGCTGGTAGGCAGCAGTCTAAAAGCAATCGCCCTGCAGCTGTCATCAAAGCCTTCGGAAGTGAGTAAGCAGAAAAGCACAAGGGTTGTAGCTGCCTTGGCAAATCAAAGCTGAAAAGCGCTATTTTCGGACAGTAGAGCTGTTCATGAATCGCAGCCCAAAACTCACAGAAGGAAGCTTATTTCACCGATCTTCTCACTTCTTGAAGGCCACAATTCTCGAAAAGCTGGACGCGAGCAAGTGGACACATTTATAAAGAAACCAGGCGTTGTTCAGCTTAAGAAGGGGGAAGGGGAGGAGTGAGAGGGTGGGGGAAGGTGAAAATTCTACACTTTCGACAGTTCCTTCTGCCAGTTCATGTCAACTATGGTATTACCTTGGTGAGACCTGTTAAGGGACACAGGTAACTAATTCAAGATTACAGGTCTTCACAGGGTGATCTGTACAAATTTTGATGAGTACCCCCACTAAACATCAGAAATTCGCCAGAACTAGGCGTTACAGGTGGGCGCTACTGCAGATAGCGGAAACGCATGCGCGATCCCATGCGCTACTGCCACTCGCAGGATTTGCCATTACCCCGAGTCTCCACTAACCACGTTCTGTTGTGGTCACATTCAAAAGACTAGGTTCCTGTTGAAGCCTGAAAACTAACGCTTGCAGAAGCACAACTGAGTGAGCGAGCTGGCGCAGAAATGGCATCAAACCGATATTCTTTGCTTTTTATGCCTGGTCATGAGTGTCAGGAAAACCCATTGAACTAGTGAGGATTGCGAGAAGGGACGAATGTTCCAGCTACACCAGATCGAGGATTTCGATGATCAAAGGATCGAGTGGTAAAGGTGATGAAATAAAAAAACAGAGTCTTCAGTGGGCAAAAGAACGAGATGGTCCGTTTTATCTCCTCCTATGATAAGCACTGTGAGTATGCCACCCTGAGATTCTTCCAGAGAGTGGGTGTTGGAGGGGGCTTACTATAAATAAGTATGCAAGCAATATTTAGCAAGGTATGCCAAGCAATACTTTAGCAAAACAAAGAGAACCGTGAGAAGAACAATAAACGCAGAAAATCAAGCATATTTAGTTGACGTTTCTCTATCTTGGATAAGGGCAGAAAGCGCCCGATACTCAAAGGTAAGAAGCGGATTCTAAGCACGTAATTTAAAATAAAAACTCAATCATTTCTCGTATAAACGCCTTGAAAATATCGTAGTCACAATTTTTTTCCTTACGTCTATTACTTAATAAATTTTATATCATATCCTTAATTTTAGCAGTAAGTGAAGGTAAACAGAAAAAAAACCTGAGTGGAGATGACAAGTTCGCCCTGGCATGGGATCAAAATCGCTGTAGACCCACTAAGGTTTCTACTGGCACCGGTTTGGTTAACTGGCAGCAGATGAGTCAAGGAGGACAAAATCATGACTCGTAAATCGGCTCATCCACGGAATTCACATCCACACGCCTCAGCCACTGAGTGGGGAAAAGGTACAGTGAATCTAGGGGGACTGATGCCGATTGTAACGGGATCTACACCATGAAACCCACGCAGGATAAAGCCACTCCCTTCTAGGGGTGGACGTTCCGAACTCGAATGCTTCCAAATTGATGACAAAGCTTATATTATTTTGAGGATTTTGTGTGCACTGTGTCACTCTTTCATCCAAGAATTCTAATCTCATGAATTCTCCAGTTTCTCTATTCTTGCAAACTCGGCATTATAGATGTAAGATGTAAGTTTCTATTTGGGCCTTACGAGGATTGATAAGGATCACTGATTATTCGATATGGCCTAACCGCTTGCGACTACCGCTTACGCACACAGAGTTATAACTGGCGCTCTGTGTGGCTAGCGCGACGCTGTTGCGGTGATAAAGGTGAACTTTCGAGGCCTCTGAAGAGTGCAGTCAGTCGAAAGTTAGGCCCATATCTAACAAGTAATCCCACCTATAGACCTCGTAAGACTTGTAACAACACAAAACAAATACTCATGAATAGTCACGAGTAGGTATAAAAAAAGTTACGAAATGTGATGGAACTGGAGAGTTGGCCGGCAGTTCGATCCACAGTTGCATTACCATGCTATGCTACGCCTGCCTCTAATCAGAGCCACCATTGACACTGTTGCAGTGGATCTTATTGTTCGGTGAGGGAGTGCGTATGCGTTGAAATTGCCTCTAATTCAATCTCCTGAGACCCTCCTCCAGGGATCGCAAAAAAATCGAGAAAGAACGAATGAAGTGATAAAATAAAAGAAAACCGAAAGAAGCGGAAAATAAAGAAAGAGTCAATGAGATGGCTTGAAAGGAAAACATCCCAACTGACCTCCCAGAGACCAACGTGATGGATGTGAATGGCAGCTTCCACAAGGAATACCAGCGTAACGATGCAATCGTTGGCAAATATCGCATAGTTGAGCGGGGGCCATAGTGCAATTGTTTCGGGGGTGTGTAGGCAGACGGAGATCATCGACAACAGGCACGCTAACCTGACCAGCTCTTTCAGCACGTCATTTTGTAGAATCTCTGGAAAAATAATTTATAGAAAAACCCACTGGAAATGGGGGCAGCACAGTCCATTACTAGCTGAGAGAGCCAAACTTCAACCTTTCGACCTCTATAACATTTCCAAAAGCGGCATCAACTGCAAGGAGCAGCGCAAGATTCAAAAAGTTAGACTAGGTCTAGCAAGTAAATAAATAGTAACCACTCAGCAAATGGAATAATGGATGGCGAAAGTGACACTGACCGGACGGCTTCTTGTTGATGGCACTCGGCTCGAGATTGATGATTTCCGTGAGTGCGACAACGGATTCGCCACGTCGCTTGCGTGGACCGCCGTCGGTTTTGCCATCTGACGGCTGCGACGACTTGCGGCGAGTCAGCATGGACGCCGACAACGCCGCCGCTTTGCACGCTGAAATTACAACTTCAATGAGACAGAACGAACGGAAATCGGAAGTGCAGGAGTGGGAGAAGGTGATGCTGTGACACGACGAACTGGGTGGAGATGAACATGCAGAGTTGAATGAAAACGTGAAGGAAAGGAGAGCTACTGGTGCTGAACAAGGTCGTACTCATTCAGGCTCGTGATTGTTCGCCTGGGATGACTCAGAATTGTGGTGGAAGACGGACACAGTGGCAATTGCAGCTGTCGCTGTGTGGAGGTGCCGAGGAGGCAATCGACGAATTTAGACGACTGCAAATTGCCGCTTCGATTCGCCACCTCCTGAGTGCCAAACCTTCCCAGGACTCTTCGCAACCACCACATCCAACCTAATTCTTGAGTGGGAACCTCACTTTGTGGGAAGCTTTTCAGCAGCTAGAGTATCACTGAACTGACCCTCCCTGACTTAGCCCTCAAGGGGGCAATTGTCAACGGGAGTTGACAAGCAATAGCATTATTGGTGATGTCAGAAAGGTCCCCCAGGGCTATAAAGCTTTCTTGACATTTCTGGATCTAAACTTAGGCCAATTAAGTGCACGCCTCCCAGCGGGACGTTTGGTGAAACCATTGAATTAAATTGCTTCAGGCGGCCTCAATAGAACACTCTCATCATGCAGAACAAATGGGGCGTTTGCAAGGAAGAAAGTGAGGGTTCCGACTGAGAACGATGCATTTTTATTGCCAGTCGCTCAACACGAACTGAAAGACCCTCTCTTATTAAGCCGTGTTCCGAACAAGCTTAGCACTTCAACTGAGTGAGCTGTGGGAAAACGTTATTAACTGGCGAAGTGCAGGAAAAAGGGCGAATGTCACTCTTCAAAGGATTCTTTCATTGCGAAGTCACTTAATTATTCAGAGTGTCAGCGATGTCACTTTTTGCTGAATTAATACTTACTAAATGAGATGGATGCTCCGCACTTCTTTATCCTAGTGGATGCTATTACCCTAGCACAAATGAGAGACGGGCTTCCAACGCTTTTGGGCATTCAACATCGCCCAAATTCCACGCTTCTCGGCCTTGTTATGGTCGTTTCCACTGCAGACGCTCGTATAACGAGGATGGGGACGGGCTCATTTTGGCGCGGCGCCACTCAGTTTTCCACCAATTTACACCTGCCCGCTCCAACAAATGGAAGAGAATGGACTCGCGCCGACCCTAACGCACCTTCTACTCGACAGGCCCCAGCGTCTGCAGCGAAACGACTGTAGAAATTCATTAGATTGTACGATTTCGAATAACGTTCAATGCATGGCGCATCTGAAAGAGCGACTAAAACCGAGCTTTCCCTTGGGCTTCGACCTGGCTGGATCGGAGAACGATTGTTGAGATCAAGTCGGCTAAGGTCGGGGTCATTCAAAGAACTCATTTTGCATGGCACTGGCATAGTGCGAAACCCTCTTTTGATCCACAGTATAACTTCCCCCTCTCTCCTAGGATTATGCGGATTCGTCATCTCTACTTCACTTTTGCGCAAGTTGTCCTTTAGATCCCCCTCACCATTAGCAAACGGGCGTCCACAAGTGGAATGAGAGAAAGTTTATCTGCAAAAGTCTGCGTAACGACTTCTACTTATGCGTAGAGGAGCTACAATCGAAAGTCCAAATGGCATAATCGGACGTAAGGGGGGTCATTTAAACCCTTCACTGAACCCTAGAACAACCCATTGACTTGGATGAAACAAACCATTCATGTTTTGTAATGATTTTTCTACCCACGTCTATTTCTTCTTCTAATCCATACGACACTTTTGGACACTGACCGAGTACTCACTGATTTGCACAGAAGCGGCGTTACAATATCATAATGGAATTGGAAAATAATTCCCGCCTGGGTTGAAACTCGGAAACTAGCTGAGCCAATGTTCGTGGTGCTCCCCTTCACTAGAGATAGCACCCTTTTTCAACAGTGAACGGAGAGTCTGATCGAGTTCCATAAGAGAGGCGTAACAATGTTTGCGGTCTGAAGTGGCGTTGTCGTGAAGGAGAACGACTTGGCTCTGCCCATTTGTGTCTTTCTGCTGAACGGCTTCTTTTTCCTGTGGCAGCTGACTTATATAAAAGGATTTGTCGATGTCCATGTCCTTCTTTACCGTGTCCTAGAGTACTAAAATTTGGCAATCAACCCGAGCGAGGTATGTGTCGGTATTGCCACTCTTGAATTTCTCAAATAATCTGCCACCACTTCCAGCCAGCCAGCGTCTCTTGGCCGTTTTTTGACGGAAGGTGTTAGGAATGTTGCTATTCCGCCCAGAGTTTTCTCTTGAAAACTTGAGCTCACGAACAAATTTAATCATAGGATAAAAGGTAATGAGCTATCGCAGACCAGATAGTGCCCTTGAAAGCTAAGTTACGACTGGCCTCACGACGTAATATCTACGAAAAAAAGCTCAATGAAACGGCTGGAACTTCTCAGACTAATGTGGCAACCTGGTCC